AATCAGTTTGGAAAAGGTTACGATCCGGCCATACCAAGAGGAATGTCAGTAGCCTTAGACAACCCAATGATTTCCTCTTGGTAAGGAGATGGAAGGGTGTAAACCAAGTAAGCCTGTCAAATCAAATTAAAACGCGAATTAAACGTCATATCTGAACATAAACATCTTTAACATCATGTTTATTTTTTCACGAATCCTTAAATTTGTCTTCACGAGAAGAAATTTCCACCATTTCCATCGCTCGATAGAAATAAATTTAGACAAATGGAAAAAGTGTTTAAAAAAAGAAATTATTTTTGAATTTCACCCAATGGGTCAATTTAAAACATGTCGATTAATGTTTATCTTAATTAGACATCTAAGTAAGAAGAATTTTATCAATGTCTTAAAGTAAGTGCAAATATACATACCAAATCTTTGTCGAGAAATCGATACAGTTTTCCATCCAAGATAAAACTTGTAAAGTTTCTTAAGTAGTTTGTCAAGTCCTGGATCTTGGTAAATATGGTAAGGTAAAAAAAATAAACAGCGAGATAAAACAAAGCCAAGCAAATGACAAATAACAAAAACAAGGAAAGAGAAAAAGAGAAATGAAACGAAACTTAACAATGTCAAGATAATGAGAATCGCTCTCTACTCTATTTTTGACCAAAACAGTGCATCTTTGACAAATTAAGGATAAAAAGACGCGCGTCAACATGGAATCTATATGTCACAGTTTTTAACGATAGAACGATGGTGACGTCATCTATCTATCTATCTGTCCCCCAATGGATCGTAAGTAAGAGCCCAATCAAATTGTATGTACAATTCATTTTATCACATAAAACTTTGTAGACTCCACCGTTAATTTTTAAAGACTGACTCCTAGCTTTATTTAAACTGTGAGCTTATAGTGGCGTTGAGGGCGACGCCGAGGGCTGGCTGGTGAAAAGAACCAGCGAAAGATCTGATACCTTTAACGGAACTATAGGAGCGGATTCAGAAAACGACACCGCAATCTTTTGAGGTTTTCCTCTTATATTTTTTCTCGATTTCTCCACATCCATGACGGAAACTCGAAGACTTTGCTGCTATTGTACCTAGCAACACTCTACAGTCCATGTTGCGCAATTACTTTCCATATCTCCTACCTCTTTTATCTTCTTGCCCACCAAGTCATTGTATCTTTGCTCAGGTGGTAAATCAAGATTCACAACTTCCCAAGGAACCTCACTAAGAAAAAATGTAAACTTCTCTTTAGTATCTATTATTAAAGAGCAATTTTCAACTGAGAGTCGAAAGTCATCCGACATTGAATAAAGGGGTAAGTTTCTAAAGAAACTGTGTTGCTGCATCGGTGGGCAGGGTTTGAGCTAGTATTTGATCACTGGGGGACAATTTGTCCCCTTAGCAAAAATTTTGGAGGACATTTTCATCTTTAGGGGGACAGATAAATTAATTTTTATTCGACATTTTCTTTTTTTACATTCATACAGGCAAGCCGACAAAAACATTTTTTTACCTGATCCTTGTAAGACTTGTAATACAAGAAAAGTGATACAAAAAAGAAAAGTTATGTTATTGATGTCAAATTTCTTTTTCTCGTCATATTTAAACAGAGGATCAATGACTATGCTTTATACTTCAAAACATTACACATCGTTCCGGCATCGCCTTGTAAACTTCAATTCCTTTCTTAATCACTGGTAAACGTAAATGTACAATTCTTCAGTTGGTTCTAGCCCAAACATCAAGGGCTGTAGGAAAGAGTTGCTGCAGAGTTGAGGTTCTAAAATTTGTACACCCTTCTGCCGTTGCAAAGGGGTTTGTCTTCTTAGATTTCCGACAAAAATAGCAGAACATCGCCTCTTTTTCATAGCGCAACCATGTGTGATCTCGCAACCAAGTTTTCAGGAAAGTTCGTGATTTTTTCGGTTCCCTTCGATCCTCATTCGTTTCTTCCTGATTAATACACTGTTCTTCTTCTGTATCATTTTTCTCTGATTCACTCTGGCTTCGATTCCGAGCGAAAAAGCTTTCTAATGTTCGAACACGTTTTCGATGTGACATGTTACTGCGCTTTTCACAAACATGCGAATTTTGAAGTTCAAAAGCCAACTGACGATTGGGTTTTGTCGCTGCCGTCAATCATCTTAACGGAACTCTTAGGAAACAAAAACGCTTGGTTGAGCATGAGACGTACGTGTTCAGTAAAGTGTGACTGAAACGTGACTTTAGAATGAACTTTAAACGTGCTAGAAAATATACTTTCCACGTTCTGTTTTAGCTTGCAATTTCTGAACCGAGATAAAACTCTTCGTGTGTGCTTCCTTTCGAGTTTTTTCCCTAAATTTTGAAGGGGACAAATTGTCGTCTTGACCGTTTTTTTAAGGGACAATTTCAATTGCAGTGCGGGATTGGCGCAATGGCGCGGCCTGGCTCAAACCCTGGGTGGGAGAGTATAACAGGGTAATTTGGTATTATCAACTGAGTTGATAATGTAAATTGGCCACCGTAAAGAGTTTTAAAGCTGAAGTTTCAAGCGTTAGCCCTTCGTCAGAGCGAAAGACAATAGGTTAAACCATACCTTTCAGACGGAGGATAGGCTCCAGTAACACAATGTTGATCCGAGAACTAGAATCACACAAGGATTAAAGCAAATTCAAGGCATTAAACTACAGCGGAACTCCTTTTAATCCGATTATTGTGTAACAAACTGTGAGTTGCATAAAAATCTGTCATTCAATCGGAAGAAACGTTCAATCAGTTGATTTGCCTGTTATGTTTTGACTGAGGAAATATTCACTAGAACTCCAAAAGTCGTTAAAAAATACTTCGTATTTTCAACTACTTCTTATGGAGTCATGGCACTTTGCCAATAATGTCCAAGCTAACGACATATCTCTTTCCTGCTCTGGGGTCAATAGTTTGAACAAACAATATCTTAAATTAATGTTACTTTCCATTTTCAAAAATTCTCAACGGTTCATTTCATCACAGGTTCAAGTCTTTTAAAATCTTTCAGATATCAAAATAGTCGAATTGCCTCTAGACTGCGAGAAAACGCGCGTTTCAAAATATGCACTTATTGCATTGTCTGGAACACACAAAACAAAACAAATAGCCATTCCGCTTCGATCTGTTTGCTTCCAGTTCAATACATATCAACTTCTTTACTTTACCTCATAGTCTGAAGACGAAACTGATCCAAAGAACAGGAAACATGTGAGCAAAAACCAGAATGTAGCCGCCATGACTGATCTCTAGCTACTCTATAACTATTTCGGCTTATAACTGTTTAGTCATGTGACAATTTAAGATCCTCGAGCGAGTCATAAGACTTGAACACGACAATCTTTTTATAAATGTTTATTTTTTTTATTTCTATCATCAGTATACTTTCTGGCAACCAGTACCCATAGAATTTTAATTTGTGTTTCTTTGAAATTCCATGGAAATCGCTAACGAATTTTTGAAATATTTTCTGAAATATGCTATCGATCGATTTGAAAAGTTCATGCTCTGGGCGGCTTCTGGTTTGAAGGAAATGCAATCCAACCGCTTCACCGCTTACTTGAATTATGTGGAAAAAAGTCGTTAAGTTCAATTAAGCATGCACTTCTTCGTATACTGTTTGAAACTTGATGTTATAAATAACTACATTTTACCGAATGGCGAAAAATTCATTTCATGAAATAATATGACTGCGCGCAAAATAAAAATAATCATGGAATGAACTTTTCAAATAATTAAGGGAGCAAAATTTTTAAAGAAACTTTAGTGTTGCGTCGGTGGGGTTTTTTACAAGATAATGAATTCTATGAAGTTTAGTTCGTCATTATTCAAAACGATAATCAAGTTTTTGAACTGAGTTGATCATGTGAATTGCACACAGGACGAAATCACATGTTTCCGTATTTCTGAAACGTGGCGGAAACATGCAACTCCATGTTTCCGTTATGTTTAACATGCACAAAAAGTGGTCCGGTTCCGTTGTATACGCAGCAACGGAAACGCGAGAAAACGTCACGAAACCGGTAACGGAAACACAGGTTATCCGTCGTGTTTCCAAAACGGTTTAACATGTTTCTGCCACGTTTCCGTTTACGGATTCTTGCAATTTCGTCCTGTGTTGGCCGCTGTCGAGAGGTTCTGAAGCTGACGTTAAGACCGTTGGCTCTTCTATTCGCTCTGGCGAAAGGCTGACGCTTTAAGACCTCTCTTCGGCGACCAATTCACATGATCAATTCAGCGTCTAAAAATAATTATCGTTTTGAATAATGACGAACCAAACAAAGATTTTGTACAAAGGATAAACGACGCTCCACATTTGTAAGACATTCATATTTTCAGGAGAAGACAGGATGAAACGGAACACGGTGTAAAAATAGGGAACGAACTTTATATCCATGAGCAGGGCTTTAAGCGGATCGATACTGCATGATACGTAACTAGGACTTTTAAACTCAATTTTTCAGCTTCATTTCTTTGTCAATCCCTCTGGGGACTTAACGACTCACAACAACTTTGTTCTCTCCCAAAATTCACCGATGGTATCATAAATTATATATATTCGTTATTCCCTTCAAAAGGATATATCAGAAATGCTTTACAAGTTTTGATCTTTTTTTGACAGGAATGATAAAAGCTCAGTTTTATGCAATCGGACATCTCTTTTCAACGTTGTGGTGCTATTATGTTTGAGGATAACAAAGCTGTCTTAAGCCTCATGGGAAAACAAAAGAAATTTTAAGAATCTTAAGGATGACAACTTATTAGATATTCTACTTTTCCCCATCCAATATCTGCGTCTTCTTCGGATCCTTTCAGTGCGTCTATTTCAATTCAGCGCGGGCTAAAAATTCTTATAGAAAACTTTCACAACCTGTCAGTTTACGATCCAAAGAGGTTTTTTGACGATCGTAACAGGAAAATGGCGCGTCTAGTTGTTAGATTTGCCGCAATTTTGTTGATACTTTTGCCGATTTTGGTGTTGCAGGTTATTTTGTACTTGGAAAGTTACGGATGGAAGTTACATCTTACAACTGTGATGCGACATAAATGGAAAAACGTCATGACTGTTTCTGGTGAGTGAACGTTGTGGAAAGTTTGGATTCTCAATTTTTTAGATAAACGGTTGCTTTTATGGATAATTTTACGATTACGTTTATCATCAACACACAAATAACCTGGATGTAATTTGTCGGCAATTAAGGAATGAAATTCATTTTGCACTTTTTCCGGTTTTGTGGTACGAAACCCTTGCAAGATTTCTACACATTGCTTATCAACCTTTTTTTTTTCTCTTGCAGACATCAGAGGAACAAATGTAATTAATTCTGTAGTAAGTGAACATTTCTTCTAGACTGAGAAATTTAGTTATTACAGCTACAGCTATTTCGCAGGACACAATGTAGATCAGCTATGTAAAGTGTTTTCTTCATAACATCTCGGAATGGAACAGTCAGCCGCCTGTTTCTGTTTTGCTTAAGACAAAACAACCGTCAGGAGGCTCACATCCCTGGGATTGTTGGATAATTTTTACTTAGTTAAATATTCCTCTTATTTTGATGGACGGGGCAGAAAAAGAGAGGACCCTGGGAACGAGGTTGAAGAGAGACTCGTTCATGTCCCATCCTGTTGGTTCATTTTAACTTCAGTTTAACTTCTGGTTAATCTTTTTGTCATCTTTTGTTAACAGGCTACCAGTGAACAAAGACTGCAATCAGTGAGACGAGTATGCGGTAATACAACAAAGTCGTGGGATTCTCTCTCCGCTAAAGAAAAATATATCCTTGGAAGTCACATTTTAGTAGATGACAAGCATAGATTTTTATATTGTTCCATACCGAAAGCTGCCTGCTCAAACTGGAAGAGAGTATTGATGGTGCTTGATGGTAGAGCAACCAACATCAGTGCAGTAGGGAAAGTACAACACAGTACTTTCACAAGGCTGAAAGATTTTCCGCCATCGGTTGCTAAACAGAAACTTCGGGAGTACTATAAGTTCATGTTTGTGCGAGAACCTTTCGGAAGACTTCTATCAGCATACAAAGACAAGTTTGTCTTAAACAATACTGTTTTCCACAAAAGGTATGGGACACAGATAATACGACACATGCGAAAAAATGCTCAAGCAAATTCTACAGGAGATGATGTTAAAATAAGAGAATTTCTACAACATGTCTTGGACAGTCATGCGGAGGACATGAACGAACACTGGATGCCATTTTACAAGTTATGTCAGCCATGCGTTGTTTCTTATGACTTCATAGGATCCATGGAGAATCTGGAATCAGATTCTACTCAAGTTTTAAAACAGCTTAATGTTAATGAACAAGTCTCTTTCCCCAGACGACAAAATTTTTACCGGGCAGGGGGGCAAGGATATGTCAAACCCGAGAAATACTCACATGTACCCTTAGATGTGAAAAGAGAAGTTAGGAAAAAGTACGCTCTAGATTACGAAATGTTTTCATATGAAATGCCCAATTAAATTTGAAGTACTTGAGCATTAAAACTATATACGCATAAATATTTGTTTCCTGTTGGACTAAATGGCATCGCAGGATCCCAGTCAATCATAAGCCATAGGGCACCTAGTCTGGGAAAGCTATCAATAAAAGAAAAGTGGTCTCGTGCGATATATTTCAATAAATTATTTTTTAACGTATACGGGAGTACTTCATCACACTCAATAGGTGGCCGGGGAGGTGGATTACTTAAGTCAATTTTTGCTGGGTATATGCCGCTGGTCCCTCAGAACCCATACTCCATTATAATCTATTCTGTGAGAAATTACAGACCTCATCTTAGTCATTTTTGGTCATGCAGTAACAACTTCTTCCCATTTTAAAATCCCTACTTACTTGAATTTTCTTTCCCAAAAATCCCCAAAAATTTGCAACCCCATTCTAGTTACTAGTACCGAAAAGATGCAGGAGACAGGGCCTACGTGTCAACGCGACTCCATCCAGCGGCACATCCCCATTAGTCTGTTAGGAAGTACCCCCTTCTTCAAGGAGGGGTCTAACGAGCTTACTGAGTCTTAAACCGACAGATGAAGGAAGAGGCTTATAATTCAACTTTTATTTATGATTTTTGAGAAAAAAAATTTATGTGCGAATGACGTTGTGGTAGAGCGGAAAGTTAAGTTTGTTATTAATGCGCAAGTTGTTCTGGCCTTCACATTTAAATTTTTTGGCGTTTTCCTGGCTAGCAGAGGCAAGAGGTCGATGCATGAGCAATCGCTTGAAAGGTGCGAAAAATTTTTTTTGCTTTCGCTCGCTTGACAAACACAGACGAAAAAAGGGAAGAGAAATGATGCTGTTGTGCGGGTTAAAGTCATTAAAACTTTAATGAAACGGACTTTATAAGTGTTTGTCTAAATACACGTTTCAATATGTATGTAAAACCTGAGACAGGCTCTGTCACGCTGTGTAATTGGGCGACAGCCGGGCGGTAACATGATTGGTTGCTGGTGAGAGACAGACTGTGCAGATGTGACAGTTAATGATGTCCATTTAACAAATGTACTCTCTTGTCTGGTTGATCGTTCATCTTAGTGTGTTAGAAAATGAGGTGTACAAGATTTCGATTTGCCGCATTTTTGTTTATTTGTAGCTTGGTTTTTGTTGTACAGATTTTTATTTTGTTCCCAGAAACTTACCCACGGAGAATGCGGTTAACAGCTCTGTTATCCGGCAAATGGAATGGCAAAATGAGGATTTCTGGTGAGTAAACGTTGCGAGAAGTCTTGAATTCGTTACTCTTCAGGTTAAATAGTACTCTCATCCGTCAGTTTCTGATTCTTAACGCACAAATAGGTAACATGTTGGTGTAGCTCTTCAGATGGAAGCAGATTTGAAAGGGAAAGGATTTTTCATATATCCCTAAGACATCGACTTTTCGCGGTGTAATGTTACTTCAGTAAGTAACAGAACTGAAGCATATTTTAAGATTTCCGGTGAATCACATTACTGAAATGTTTACCAGATGTTGTTTTTCATTTGCGAACAGAGCGTGCCGCTGATTGTTTTACATACAGATAACAGTAACTTTTTGCGCAAATGAAATGTTAAAATTCTGCGGGTTTCCTGTGCTGATTTGAAGAGATTTTTTTGTGATAGTCTGGCTGATTTGTATTGTTATACCTCAACTGAGCGAACACCAATGGATTTGAATGAAGAATGCAGTGATGCTTGATCATAGAAGTCGGCTGAATGACGTGTGGTACTAAAGATTAGTCGAACTAATGACTAACGTGATGTTTTGATTGATAGCATGGTTCAACTTATTACTGTGACATAAACCGTTAATAAATTAAACATTGTGCATTCTATCTTAGCCCTTTAATAGATTCTTGAGAGTTTCACTAGCATTAACTTTTAGCATTCTAACCACGCATAATTTGAATGAACTAGAATCGAAAGAAAAATTTCATTAATTATTTGGATGTGTGCACTTTGAGCGACACAGCTGTGCTGTAAACAAATAAACCGGGATGATGAAACGGTCCTTTTGAACGGGAATTTGTGAATTTTTCACCTACTTTTGTATTTTTTTTGTGTGACGATGATATTTATTTGGTGGAGAATGTTAGAATTACGTAATGGTTGCGTGAGAAATTATTTTCACCAAGGACAAGTGAATTAGGTAAGAGTAAAGCGTGTAATTTTTTTTTTCTTTCCTGATTCCTAAAAAAAAATATGTAGTGAATTTATTAGGTGTGTGTGATGTCTTAAACAAATGATTTGGACTACAGGGGTGGTGGAATCGGACTAAACGTTTATCAATCCACAAAAGGCTAGCCATAATTTCTAGTGGTGTTAAAAATACTAGTACCAACAAACTGTCCATCACAAGCCTTAATTACAAAGTGCCATAAATAGTGTTTCCATGCAGGTGAAAGAGAGTACCTCGATACATGCATACCAGAGTATACTGTTTGTTTCTAAAGAAACAGTTGGGCTGTAATGGTAAACAAGTAAAGTTATTAACATGAGTTCATCATTTAGCTTTAATTTTAACATTAAAAAATTGCTTTTTAGAGGAAATGTTTTTTTTCTGTTCTTGTAGCTGTAAAGGGGAAATTTTAGTAATTTTAGGGATTTGGGACAAAATGGTTTCCAAAGCATTGTATCAAGTCCCCCAGAATTTACTGAAAATTAAACTCTATTGAAAATCTAAATTTTTTTTTTTGTGCTACTTGCCTAAAAAAATTTTACTGATTTGTTCCCAATTTCTCTAAAGCATTTCGTTTATTACTTACCATTATGAACCAAATTATATAGAATGCTAGCTAGTATATACAAGTTAACTCCCATTTGTTTTAACAACTGAACCATCTATCTTTGCATTTGTTGTTGCCATTAAACCCTTACACCCGAACATCAGTATGCATATTCTTCCTACTGTTCTCTAAACTTTTCCTAATATGCTGGCAAGGAGAATTTGTCTTACAAGCATAAGCTTCTTTAGTTGGTGATCATTTCCTTTATTCTCATGACCTTAATGTTTGATTCAGGGAGGATATGGTAAGGAGAAATTAAATGCTGGTCACTCTTAGGGGTTAAAGGGTTAAATATACAATCTGGAAATCGTAATTTGCAGTACTTGTTGTCAAACTTATGTTTTCTTTTGTAGATGCTAGAGGAATGAGTGTGAATAGCTCTGTGGTAAGTGGAAAATTTTTATACTTGCTATTCAAAGTAATTTCTAATCAGCTGCTAAGTGGTGAGATTGCAAAGCTTTTTGCATGATGCACTGCAGCTTAACATTTAGATATTGTTCTGTCTTCAGGGCAGAAGTAAGGAAGTAAATTTTAATTTACAGGATAATATATTCTCTAGATCTGAATGAAAGTAGCTTAGGGCCAGGTTGCTCAAGAGTGAATTCAAATATTTGCCAATTTTTTGTGAGCCAAAAATTGGCAGAAATTTTGCAATTTGGCGGCGGTTGTATCAAACTAGAATCCTCTGATGAAAACTTTATTGATTGACACATACTTCAATGCTAAATGCATCTCCCTCTATGAAAAGATAAAAAAAAATTCTTGCTTGAATTACTGGGCAAGAATGATTATCTTCGTAGCTTTTGGGTTTTTGTAGAATTTTGCATAGAATTTTTATATAGTTGATATATTATCAGTGGTCTTCTATGCAGCTAGTACCAGCTTTTATGTAGAAGACAAAGACTTTGCTTGAATAGAGCTTGTTTACAAAACCATCTTTGGTTGAGGTCTCTGCATCTGGCAGAGTCATGGTTCAAGATTGGGACCATGTATCATACTTTGCTTTCTTTTTTTCCTGCCAATCTTTTTGGTTGCAGCTTGCACCACTCGTACTGGCTTCGAATATTCTAATGAAAGGAGAAGTACTTGTTGAAGCCAATATTATTGTTCTCCAAATTGCCACCAGTGACCAGGCTCAGGGTACCAGTCAGACATTTGAATGATAAAAATGTCACTCAGACTCCTTGTTTCCTTCAAATGAAAACTGAAGGTCAGATGGACCAGGAAAAAATTTTGTCTTGCCATTGTGCACACCAAACTACACTAGTGGACCATGGTGTATATTAAATTTCATCTAGACATGTCTTGCATACTGTTACAGCTGAATGGTTAAATAAAAACAAGATTGTTTGATTTGCCAAAATTTGGAAGCCTCCAAGGCAGGAAATCAGCTCCTTTGAAGATTGGCAAAATTTTTGGCAATCTGCAAAAAAATTGGCAAGTTTTTCAAAGTTAGCAGTTGCACTTATTTTACACTACTTGTTCACAGAGTTATCAAAAAAATAAACAAAAAAAAAGCTCTTGTGCAACCTGGGCCTTAGTAAGTCATAATCTATGCAGATAATTCAGAATAATAGCCCGAGAAGTTCTGTAGGGTAGATGGAGAATTCTTTGATCCCATTCCCACACAAACACCCTTATTTAGTTGGTAGACTGTATATCAGTCATATCAGACCCACACTACCATCAGACTGCAAGTTCAGCTCATGGTGTTTTTTCTTAAGTGAAACATAGTACTTCATTCATGAGAAATTGACCCAGTGTCAACTGACTGTTGCTTCTCTATTATTGAAAATGAAACTGGGGGGGTGGGGCATAGGGAGCATGTCTGATTTTTGGCACAATTTGTATGAAGTAATATAACTATTTCAATGTTTTCACCTTCAAGACCTTGGTAACAGTTCCCCCTTCTAACTCCTATAAATTTCCTCGCAAGTTGTTCAGGAGAAACTGTTACATGAACATGTGAATCCCCACTTGTGTTTTACATCTGACAAATGCATTTTTGCTACAGGTCACAAGTGGGCAAAGAAAGAAATCAGTAAAAGAAGTGTGTGGAAACATGCAAAAGTCATGGGATTCTCTGTCCAAAGAAGAAAGACAGATCCTGGGAAAACATATTTTAGTAAATGATGAGCACAAATTTTTGTATTGTTCTGTACCAAAAGTTGCATGCTCAAACTGGAAGAGAGTAATGATGGTACTTGATGGTCAAGCAATTGACTCCAATACTATTAAGAGAGTAAATCACCATTCGTTCACAACGCTGGCAGATTTCCCCCCACTGGTTGTTAAACACAAACTTCAGGAGTACTACAAGTTCATGTTTGTGCGAGAACCTTTTGCGAGACTTCTATCAGCATTCAAAGACAAGTTTGTCTTAAACAATACTGCTTTCCACAAAAGGTATGGAACACAGATAATAAGACATGTGCGGAAAAATGCTCCAGTAAATTCAAAAGGAAATGATGTTAAAGTGGCAGAATTTCTACAATATGTTGTGGACAGTCATGTGGAGGACATGAATGAACATTGGATGCCATTTTATGAGTTATGTCAACCATGTGTTGTTTCTTATGACTTCATAGGATCCATGGAGAATCTGGAATCAGATTCTACTCACGTATTAAAACAGCTTAATGTTAATGAACAAGTTTCTTTCCCCAGACAACAAAATTATTACCGAGCTGGTGGGAAAGGATATGTCAAAAGCAAGAAAGTCTCAAATATACCTCCAGGTTTAATGAGAAATGTTTTGAAAAAGTATGCCTTAGATTACAAAATGTTTTCATATCAAATGCCCAATAAATGAAAAACTTTATTCAAACTTACCAAAAAATATAGAACAGTTGACTTATTTTTCTATTTATAAAAATTATTGAGCATGCAAATTAAAAATATTTGCAAATTATCTGTCATTTTAAGTTAAAAATGTTTTAATTTTTTCCCTACTTGTATTTAAAAGCATTATAAATCCATGTAACATAAAATTAAATGACTATAAGTATCATTATACATTAGACTTTTAAAAACTCTAACTGGTAGAGAACACACAGTCAAAACACAATAGCATGTGAAGTTGACATGATAACCCAATTAATATCTGCAACTGATATTGGGTTATCATTTTGGGTTCAAAGACTACCTGGTTTCCATGCCCCTCCTGTTTGTTGTGTTTTGTAGTGGAAACTCAAAGAGAGGTGATTTCTTTTGCAGATTGTTTAAAAAATGTATAATAAATTAAGGTTGAATCTGTTGTTGGTATGATATCAAGAATTATCAAACTTTAACCTTCAGATTCGACAGATAACTCAGATCTTGGCATTAATAATTATGTTAAACCTCATGCAATAATTGCTTAAAACCACTCTTGAAAGTGTGAAAGGGTTAATTAGCTAAAAAGCATTCAACCTTTACATTATAAAAACTCCAGATAAATAACATACCAATGCCACTCAATTTTATGTCATGTTAATATTCACAGCCCCATCTGTTATTTTCTTTTTAAACAACAACATCAAAAGAAGACATGCACTTACATTACAGGGAAACGTTTGTTTGTGGTGTTCACATCTAAAACAACTTTGTTTTACAGAAAATAAGAGAAATCAAACTGGTTTAGTTGGGCTGGCATCTGCTCAATATTTGCTTCTTTTTTCACATTTTTGATTGATTATTTATCGCCATTTTCATCTTCAACACATACGCCATTCATTTCCTGACTGCTCCCTTCCTGTAGACCACCATAACCAACTTGATTTGAAAAAGACGTGGGCTTCTCCTCAGCACACAGACCACAGCCACATGTTTCAGTGTAGTGCTTGCGAAAGTAGAAACTGAAAGATTTAAAGAGTTTCCGCAAATCTCAAATACAGCTATTTTAAGTCTTGGAAAGCTATTTTTTTAATTTTTTCATTTGAAACAAGATTTAAGTCAAAATTTCTTCTTTTGAGCAAAATCATCAAAAGTTTTAGTACATGTCCAATACACAAATCTAACACTCACAAGAAGCTTAAAAGCCATAAGCTGAACACAGCTGCTGCAATGACTGTAACCACCCAGATACTGTGTGGAAAGAAAAAAAGACAAAGTTGACTTCATCTGACATCCAAACTCCCAAGATCTTGTTTATTTGGTAATTTGCCCTCCTACTGGCTTTACATTTCCTTGTAAATTAACTGGTGATGAGGTGTTATATAAAGATTATGTTAAAACCCATTAACGATAACTTGAACATGCTCTTAGTGGTCAAAAACCTGCTGATCAAATCAAAGCTTTAACATTCAGCAACCCACAGACATTTGACCATTGCCTGTGCTTCAGGGGTGGGGAATTTGAACCTGAAGTGTCAAGTCTTTGCAAGCACTATTTTTCTTACTTCAGAACACTCAGCAAGGGAAGTGCCAAGCAAGTCCAGATGCCACCACCCATGAATGGAGAGTGAAGAAGCTGTTTGAAGGCAAAATCAGCAGGAACTGGAGTGCGACACTCTGGATCCACCATTCGTAATAGAATTAGCCCTGTTGCAATCACACCAGTATTCATTCCAAAGTCTGCAATTGCTCTTTCAAACCTGGAAACAAAACAAAAACAAAAAAATGAAAGTAAAGCCTTTGTGAGCAACAACTTACCAGTATCAATTTTTTGTCAAATACCAGAGTCCAATTCTTTAGTTAGATCTTTTAAGACCACTTTCCTTAAAGAAATTAAACCTCACTTTTTGCAACAGATAATTTCTGTCTATATTTTCCCGTTGGAGGAAGTAATATAATCACATGTAGCACACATATGGTAACTACTGTTGTATTATATGGTGGAATTTGCATTCTGCAACTGCATGGGAGTCCCTGTGGGGTTGGCTACACCTTAAAACATAATGCCTGGTCGCCTCAAGTTCAAAGGTAAAGCTAGATAATGCTCATTTAAAGAGTTAAATTGTACAATGATCCAATTAAATTTCTTCTGGCACAGTGCATAAATTCCAATTAGAAAACAGAAAAGAAGAAGGAGAGAATACATGATTTTGCGTAGACAGTTATCTTAAGATAATCTCTTTAAAATTAAAGGCAGAGGAACTAAGCAAATAATTGACAGTTCCATACTCCCCTCACACCAAAGGTTAAACACATTTTAGAGCTGTTTTCTTAAACATGGTTTAAATTGTTTTCTTTGTAGAAACTGTATAAACTAACGTTTGTCTACATCAGATTTAGCAAATTGAACATACAAATTAGAGACCAATTAAAATTTATGGAAAGTTCAGTTTTTCAGCTCTCTCTTTCTGGTTTTCATTCAGTTAACCCTAGTCTAACAAAACATGTTTTGTTTGTGTGAATGGGGTATAAGATCGATGGTTTTGATATGATAAACCTCAGCATTAAACAACAATCTACTCAGTACAGATCTGGGAGATTAAAGATATTGTTTTTGCATATTTTTCCTAAGATCCATGCTATATTGACTATTATTTTTGACTGTCAATTCTGAAATATCAAACTTGAGCTAATTAGTATTTTTCACATACCAGTGGTTGGGTAACAGAAACCTTGAAACACAACCCAGCATAACAAAGTTCCAGATGAAGCCACAAGTGCACAGGATCAATAAGGGGGCAATGTCGACAGCAACAGCTGAGACATCAACTGTAGCAATAGCTGAGGTAACAAGGAAATCCAGTGAAGATGAGGCTATGCGTTCCATGAGAGATGCATCAATCAATTCATTTATCCTCTGGATTTTCTCAATAACAAGCTTCAAAGAGAAAGACATTCATCATTACTCAGGAACTAAACCATTCATCTTTATCGTATATGGGCCATCCACAAAACTCTTATGCTTAAGACATTTGTCCTAACCACATTAATAATTAAGTTCAGGTTTCATGGTTTGATGCCCTTGATTGGTTTTTGGACACCAAATCATAAATTGTGATTTATAAGAAGTTGTTTAGTTTACTTCTTACTTCTCTCACAGTTTGGCGTTACTGAAAGTGTAACTAGAGAAGAGATCTATTATAGACTGTTAGACAAAGATATTGCATTTAAGAACAAAGATTAACCATCCTAACCTGGATAATTATTCCCCCAGCCATACACAATGGGAACAGAGGAATACCAGAGAGAAAGTTAAGATCCTTGAGCTTCTGTGATGTACTTTCAATAACAATCAACACCTGCTTCAGGCCATACCCAATCAACATGGCTATTCCAAGCACTGCAAGATGGAATGCCAACACATCTATGGAGCTTGCTCGCACAGTTTGCACTCCAGCTGAGGGACGGCTCTCTACAGCATACACCCCCCTATAAAAATTTGAATGAAAAAGGAGATGTCTCTGTTGCAATTAATTCATCCATTCATTCTCTGTCTGTCAGTCAACTGATCAGGCAATTCACTGAGGTCAGTCACTTTTTATGTGTTAACCCTTTAACCTCCAGAAGTGATTAACATTGAACTTCTCTCCATAATATCCAATCAGTATCTGACAAACAAGTTATGGCAATAATCAAACTTATCCGTTAGAAGTTTATATCTTGATCTAACACCCAATTCTTCTATCTAATTTACAAAAATATAGATAGCAGCTAAAGGGAAGAATTGACAGTCATATCTTAGGAGTTTAAGGGTTAAAGGTCTATAAAACAAAGATAACATCAGGTCAGTTGGTAAATCACCTGCTCAGTTGACCAGTCAAACAGATATCTATCTGGTATGGTGTATCAGTAAACTGTCTGTCTGCCAATTGGTCAGTCAGACATGGTAAATCATCACTCATCAAGTGTGTCTGTCAGTTGTTCAGTAGGGTCATTCAGTTATTCAGCCATCAGTCGGTATGACAGACAGACATTCATTTAGCCAGGCAGCATATCAAACCATCCATCAGTCAATCGCTCTGACGAAGGGCTAATGCTCGAAACGTCAGCTTTTTTACCCTTTATGATGGCTAATTTACGTTTTCAACCCAGTTGTTAACACTAAATTACCTGCCATCCATCAGTCTGTCTGGTCATTTAATTCTTTTCGTTTTATTAATGACAACATTATGTAAATATTTAAAATATCATCCACAAACCTGATAGATATTTTGACTTCCTTAGAAGCATCAATTCTTTCCTGCTTGACCCATCCTCTGTGAGTAGCAATGTTAACCCACATAACACCACAGATAACAGAGAAAACAAGTCCTAAGGTAGCACTGGCTAAACCAAAATCTCCACCATTGGGGAACCCCAGCTTAAAAAATAAAAAGAAAATGATAATCATAAAATTAATTTTTTTCAATCCAAGTCTAAAGCCACCAATCAGTCCAATACAAAATTTAGACAAGACTTCAATGACTTGTTAAAAACTAAGAAAGAAATATAATAATAAAAACAAAGGAAAGTAGCAGTAGGTGGAAAGGAACCATGCAGTGATGTGAGGTTAATCCAGAGTCAATGATCCTTAGTATGGAAATTTCATGGCTCTCAATGGAATGACAGAGTATGAAACAAAATGGCTGCAGACAAGCTGTTTATTTTGTAAGTGTTTACTGACTACTTCCACAATCAGGCAACAATTCAAGATTGCACCAAGTCATGACACTCTAGATAAAGTCATGTACCAGAAGCATACAACCTATAGAGTTAGGTTATTTGTTTCTGGTGATAAACAATGTTAGGGAAATTTTCAGCAATGTGCACCTATTTTGAAACTTGAAGAAAGCCAAGTAAGTGACATTTAAAATATTGCAGGTGCTTAGTGATATACAGAGCAGCTATTAGCATAAACATGGCTTACTGTCTTGTATGTGGGTGTGAGTCCTCCTGCAGTCCCATGACCTCCTGCAAACCCCACTGGTAGAATGGTCGCAAATAATGGACTGACACCAAAAACAGGCATCTGACAGCAATGCATTAAAATAGACAATAAACATAATTATTGCCAGGTAGTAAAGTTTGTGATCAAAATAAAGGGTTGGTACTGGATGGTTATATCTCTAAACTCCCTGACAGTCTGCAGAAGGAGCATCAACTTTACTGCTGGACCTTTAACTGACTGCTTTTTCTTGGGGTCTCTCTTTTCTAGTCACATCCAAAAGGAGAGACCTTGAGAATGAGTTTGGATCATTTATAGAGACTGGTAGTTGTTCCCATAGGGGTCTGGGAAAGAGTTTTCCAACTTGGAAAATGACACAATCACTTACAAAGTATCTTTTTGCTGAAACCTTTTAAACTATGGCTCAATGATTTAATTAATAAGAATCAATTGAAAAGACAAAGGTAATTTCTCCTGGTAACAGATTAAAACAAGACATAAGTCACAGAAAAGAAAGAGGACAGAAACTTGCTTCATACAATTTTGGTTTGCCCGCATGCACCCTCACCAGTAGAGCACCTGTAACAACAAGTGCCACAATCCACTGTCCCCAAGCAATAATCATGCCGTACATGAGCTGAGGCCCAGCCTGTGTCCATATCACCTTCACATTAGGGATTTGGGTGCCAAGGAACAAGGAGGAGAAAACAATGTTTATTAGAAATCCTGCCAGATTATACCTGAAAAACAGAAAAGAAAAGACTAAAACTTGTAGCTGTGTCAATATCCAACTGGGATCCAAAAAATTTTCCTTACCCTGAGAAATTTTTAAGGACCTCTCTTTTCAATTTCATCGCTTTTTTTTTTTTTTGTATCAAGTTGAGTTTTTCGTCTTATTTTATGAATAATTTTCCATGTTTCCATGCAAGAAAAGTTAGGCAAACAGGCCCAATCTCCCCTGTTAGGCTTATCATTATTCACTGGTCACGACTAGCGCATGCACATCGACTGCCTTCAAAACTCGACGTTAAGGACATACAATCGCTATGATTCTACGATATTGCGCCAACCAAGTGGTAGAATACTTACTTCAAATCAAGCCGTAAAGTTGGTTTTATTTGGGCGTGAATATATTTTACTAATTCGAAGATTCTACGAGTTTGTATATATCTCCAGGTCTTCGACTAGTAGAGCAATCTAGAAACCCTGAGGGCGAAATTTCAGGTGCTTATTATAGCGACTCTTCGCTTGCGTAGTGCATAAAGTCTGCATGTAGAAACAGAAGAATACATCTGAAATACGGAAGAATGGAAAAACTGGAAGAATGCCTTTCTCTTAACAAAATCTTTCATAACTCAGGAAAAAAGCAGCCAGTTTAATTATTTTTTTTTCAATAAATAATGCCAGTAATTTAAGTTGCCGCAAATACGGGGCTTCCTACTGTGTTACTTTTTTGATGGAAATTAACTTCTTACGTCGCTTTTCTCTTAAAGATTTTTATGAATATACGCACCGATATTTTGCATGTGTTACCAGGATTTTTATCAGAAAAACTGTATTACCTATAAAGCTATCCTGTTTAATTTGCCATTTCTATACCTTTCCTAGTAACACACATTGAAGGTGACCTTGGTTCTTATTTTTTCCAAAAACGTTACCCACAGAGACAGCCCTGAAATTTATTCACACTCACGGGAAACGATCGAAAAAAAAATTGCCTTTGTGTTGAATGGTAATTACCACGCATCATACCCAACAGAACACAACAGTGGGTGAACAATATGCAGCTTGTGTGATTTCAGCTGTAGTCCTATAACCGCGCGCCCTTTTCGTCTTGACAGAGACAGTAGAGAACAGTAGGACCCAGTGCGCATACTTTCAACACGACCATACCTTTATTATCGCGCGGGGTGGGTAACTGAGTGAAAAAAGTGCTCTGCGGGATACCAAGATTTGTTTGTAATATTTGTTTCAAATTTGAGATTGTAAAGCGTTTCTTTTGCCTTTGAAGAGAAAATAATATTATTTCATTCAAGAGGACAGAATTCCAATATCTCATATATCAAAGGTGAACACTGAATTTTGTTTTAATTTTAAAGCCCTCAAATCAAATCTTTGTTAATTCTCATTTTGGCCTCGTCGAGTAAACAAGCGAGAGCCGCGCTATTCATTCTTTAGCCTTCTTTGCTAATCTGTAACAGAAAATATAAATATCTTACCATCCCCTGGTAAAATTCAGTGCCATGAATTGTGAGACGCTTTGATCGAGACGAGCTACTTGGAGCACAACCAGCCCGATGATGCCACCGATGACTGAGGCAGGGAGGTAAAGCTGTTGAAAGAACCATACGTAGAGACGAAGGAACTTTCCCAAAACGAGCAGAAAACACAGCCAGCAAAAAGAAGCCACTGCAGAATAGGCCATGGGAATTCTTGGTACTTCGCAAAGACCGCCATCGTTGAAAACATAGCCCTCGCTACAGTAACAAGAACTGACATTTACCACAGAGCTAACGCAAATACCTCCTTCTCCGCACGAATCCGTTTCAGACACATTGCAGGTCATGATGTTAAATTGAACAAAACACTCTGCAAGGATCACTTGTTGACGAAACCTCCTCTCTCAATTTGGAATATATTCTATTTGGGGTCAGAGTGAAGAGAGACGTCGAGTTTTGCGTCCCCTGTGCTCACTTGATGTTAGACCCCAACCAACTCTAACTCTGTTGGGTTTCCTTTTCGTAATTTGAACGAGTTATAGCTCCTGGACAACACGTGTTTAAATAAAGAATGTTATTTTTTTTTCAGAGATCAGCGGTACAAATTCTGCAATCTGATTGGTTCTTAATGTGGTGCGGATTTTTCTCTCCCTGCCCACGGGCACGATAACGCTTTCAGTAATCAAAAATATTTTCATAAATATCTTTCGTTTTTCTGGCTGGGCAGTATTTTTAAGCAAAGACGTCAGTCACGACCTCAAACCGATAAATAACCTATGAATCCTTCCTTTTCTCTCTCTCTCTTTCATGTCACTTTGGTTGCCAGCAAAAAATTGGTTTCGAAATGAATTTGTGGTAATAAATGTGTCATTATTAAATAGGGTTGACGGCTTAAAAACCGTTTGTAATTAATTTTATTATTCACAAAAAGTAACTCAGTAAGTTAAAACACTAGATGTTTTTTTGAATTAATCGATGAAACTTTCATTCATTTAATATCTGAATTCAATTCTCCCAAACAATTTTCCATGGTAAAACGGAAAGCGGAGTTTTGAGTTCTATTACAATACATATGCACTTTCGGTAAGCCTTGGCAATTCCGTTCAATTTGGCGGACATTTGTAGCGTAAAGGAATTCAATAATAAAAAGCCGCATTAAATCCCATTTCGTATAGTAGTAATGTTCTATACTTCCTAGGAATGAGTTATGTTTTCCAGAATACACGGACAACTCAATCTTAGCCAACGATATCGGGCGGTTTTTCGACCGTAAGATTGCAAAGATTCGGGCAGAGCTTGATGCGTGTACTCTTCATCCTGGGGCGGTGGCTGAGGATAAAGTGTTTACAGGCGATAGGAAACTTGATCATTTCAATACGTATTCTTTGGAAGATATAAGGAAGCTGGTCAGTAGATCATCGAAGAAAAGCTGTCAACTTGATCCTATGCCGACCAATTTAGTAGTCGGCATGTCCGATATGCTTCTCCCCATCATCACTAATGTCGTGAATTCTTCACTTTCCTTGGGACACTTTCCATCTGATTGGAAAACGGCCCTTGTGGATCCAAGACTGAAGAAGACCAAGCAAGGGACTTCCTTATCCAATTTAAGACCTGTGAGTAATCTGCAATACCTCTCTAAATTGGTTGAAAGTGCAGTTTATGATCAGACAACCGATCACGTTACTCAGTCGGGTTTGTATCCCATCCTCCAGTCAGCCAATCGACTTGGTCATAGCATAGAGACTGCCCTATTGAAGATACAGAATGACATACTAGCTGCAATGGACAATCAACGAGTTACTCTTTTGGTATTGCTAGACCTGAGTGCAGCATTTGACACGATTGACCACCAAGTGTTGTTGAATCGCCTGTGCGTGACGTATGGAATTACAGGTACCGCTCTTAAATGGTTTCACTCGTATTTATCAAACAGGAAACAGCGAATCCTGATTAACGGGAGCTATTCGAGTGACTTTGATCTGCCTCAAGGGGTACCTCAAGGATCATGTCTTGGTCCCTTGCTCTTCACGTTGTACGCAAGTAAGCTCTTCGATGTTATTGAATCCCATCTCCCTAACGTTCACGCATACGCTGATGATACGCAGCTCTAGATGATACGTAAGCTGCAACGCCTGCAGAACGCGGGTGCTCGGCTGGTATGTACTATATCTAGGTATGATCCTATCACACCATCCCTGATCAACCTGCACTGGCTTCCGGTTACCCACAGAATAGAATTCAAGATAGCAATGCTAGTTCACAAATGTATCTACGGCGTCGCACCACAATATCTTTCAGACTTGATAAAAATCAAAGAGAGCTCGCGGTATCAGTTGAGATCATACCGGGGCATACTCCTAATGGACAATACCTATAGAACAAAAAAGACACTCGGGGATAGGGCGTTTGAAAATGCTGCGCCCAAAGTATGGAATCGACTCCCTTTAGAAATTAGACAATGTCAATCATTGAACATTTTTAAAGTTTTACTAAAGACACATCTTTTTAAATTAGCTTTTTATTAGTTCTTTTATTAACTCATATTCTACTTTTATTGTTTTCCGAAAATTGTAAATTATTATTATTATTATTATCATTATTTGGACTAGCCATTTATTACTTTAAGATTTTAGTGTTGTAATGCGCACTCGATCATATCTTTATCGCATGCTAGACTGCGCAATATAAGAAATAAACATTATTATTATTATTAGTTAAAGTGTCTCATTTGACTTAAGTTTCTGGTGGAAGAAAGATCAGATTTAGACACGACGTTGTCCATACGAGTGAAGGATATTTTCCGTGATATCATTGACTGTTTTTGAAGGAAAATCCTAACCATTGTCGTGGGAAATTGAAACTGAAATTTCGTCAGTTGTTTGTTTTCATCCGTTTTTCAGTTTTCCTTGTAATTGGCATTGGATTTCAAGCGTAGACACACGTATGAAGCGAGGAAGAGAAAGAACATTATTAGATAATTAAAAAACACGCTGACATGTGGTGGAAACAAGAGGTTTTCCTGGAAACCAAAATCGGGGGAGAAAAACGAAGAAATGTGAAGCGTTAATCATTAAATACACATAACGATAAAACTTTTTCACACGTCTTAGTCTGAAAATCTTTCAAGAGCGAACTGAAATACGACCAATTACTGGTGCACTATGGAGAGGTGACTTGAGCTTCTCCAGGCCGTTTAAAGTGAGCGTTTTTATATTAACACTCTCATCGCTGATTACCTGGTTTCCTGGCAAACCTACGAAGAAAACATCGAGGCCTTCAGTGAGAAATTGCAGTGCACGGACATTTCATTTCATCTTAATGATATTTTCAGCTGAGATGTGTTCTTCTGTGTTTTAACCGTTACCGCCATTCATTCCCTTGGTTTGTCTCACAGGTCTTCACTGTCGGCGTAGGATGATCAATCCATCAGTGGAGAGTATGTCTCGTGTCGGTCAAACCTACGATCTGCCTGTGTTGCGAATGCCAAAACACCAGGCTGTCCTTCGCAAACTTCACGGTTTTTATTTTTCTTATTCACTTTTTTTTGATCACGTACCGATTTATTCTTTTTATCACTGACGTGCGACACACCCTAAATCCTAGACAACGACGATATATGGGCTGATTAATTGATTCTATTGTCTAGATTGAAATCAAAAGAAAAGAGATCACCTAACACTAATCACTTATCTAAATGTCACACAATACAGCTAAAATATCTCGACAATTACCGTGGCAAGCGTTCTTTGTCGGGGAAGCTCGATAGTGCAACATTGCAAGAGTAAACTTATCTGGACCGTGGAGTGCAGCCAAATTCTCAATAAAATATCTTACCTTACTTTCGCAGTGTACTGCTTGTTTTGTGACCGCTTACTTTGTAGCAACGAGGCCATTTTAGCCAGTTATCCATTTCTAGGTTTACTAGTGCTCCTAAGAGAAGAACTTTCTTAGGATTAGTAAACCCAGAAATGGAGAACTCGCTAAAACGGCTTCTTTTCAATATAGTAAGCGATCAGACAACGAGCGATGCACTGTGGAAGTAAGGTAAGGTGTTTTTAATGAGAATTTGACCGTATCTCACAGCTGCAGTTTGGAATTCCTGTGGTTTGCTAGAAACATACACGGGGTAGAATTTCCATTTCCTGACATTTCCTCCGCCAAACTTTTCTGTGTCTTGAAAATTGAAGCTAGCCGATCTGTAAATTTAATTTAACTCCGTTTTATCTGCATGTTTATGAAAGAAACATGCGTGCACTAACATACGCAAGAACAGTTTTAAAGCAGGCTTTCCCATCCACTTCTCTCTTTTCACAATTTAACAAAAAGTTCCACAAGTCAGAGTCAAATAAATACGAAGGGCAAATTTTATTGACACACAATTACGTACTAACAGAACAAACCCCAGTTGCGAAAGTTTGAACACCCCAATAATAACGCAACGAAAGTTTCCTGTGATCTACCTATCTAGACTACCAGAATGTAACGCGGGTCACGCATAACGCTTCACAAAAGACAGGGTATAACTGACTTCTTGGGAAAAAAGATTGATACAAGACGAAACTTCCAAGTACAAATTGGAAAAAAAAAACTTTTAATAGGTTAAGACTCTTGGCAAATTCTGGAGATGACCAAAAAGCTGGGATTTCCAACGTTCTCTCGAAAAGAACTATTTCAGATTGTAGAACAACATCTTGATAATAAACCAAGATCTCATTTTTTTTGTTAAGTGATTAATTAAGATCACATGGCACATCGCAAGTTCTAAACCACAGTACCAATCAGACAGTATTTGACAAGAAAAATTTTAAAAATATTGGCAATTTCTATAGCTTTTAGTTAAAAAAATGAAGTTACAATACTTCTAAGTCAATTCTGATAACACTTATTTATCACTTCCGGTATTTCTATTAATTGTTGTCTTGATCTAAACGAGAAAAAAAAAACCCTATCTATTTAGTTGTGGGTCAAGGAAACACTGTAAAATTAAAACTTTGGAAAACGACACCTTCCGTGAGAAATGTTTTCGAAAACTTGTCAATCAACTTCCCCTAAAATTAATTAACTCGCCAAAATGAGCGTGAACGCCATAAACGCGGAAGAGCGTGGACGACGGTTTCATAAAGCGTTTTCGAAAGACCGCTCATTTGAATCGGGCCTTTCTGTTACACGATATCCGTTCACGGACCTTTACCATTTATGGTACGCCCAGGTTCCTCCAAGACCCACAACCAAATATTGACCTTAATTAGTTGAAATAACAATTTTATGTCACTGTTGCGTGACAAAACTTTGACATAAGACTTCCACAACAATGCGGCTTTGGTGATACAACACTCGAACATCGCGCACGAGATTTGGGCGACTGGAAGCTTCTTAACCGTAGTTCCCTTCTATTCCAGTTATCCTCGCACTCGGCCGTGTGGCTGCCTTGCTTGTAACGCCAGCTACACTTGGCAAGTTTATCGTGTTGAAGCTTGC